TCACCCACTCACTCACTCACCCACTCACTCACCCACTCACCTATTCACCCACTCACCCACTCACCCACCCACACTCACCCATTCACCCACCCACTCACTCACTCACTCACCCACTCACCCATTCACCCACTCACTCATTCATTCACTCGTTCACCGACTCTGGCTGCTGTCTGAGTGAATACCTGGTGGTGATAACTGCCTTCCCTTCGATATGACGTCTAAACAGGAAGAGAGTCAGAGGAACAAGATCAGGAGGTCAGCAAGGAGCAGAATAGAATAGAATAGAATAGAATAGAATAGAATAGAATAGAATAGAATAGAATAGAGACAAACGGTTTAACAAAAAAAGTCGTATAAAAAAAAAATATTGTTTGTGATGTTGTTTGCTGTTGGTACACAACGTTAGAAAAATATTCACAGGGTTAAAAAAATAAAATCTATTTTCTCGGTTGTATGTAGGAAAAGTTAATAAATTTAATAGAAAACAATAAACAGAATAGAATAAGAATAATGCACTTATTTTGTCTTTTAGGGTTTAATTTTAAATAATTCAGTGTTAAACTCGACTTTAATGAGTTTAACGTGTTCAATAAAAAGTCATTTGTGGAATCAGGATGAATTTTAAAATGTATTTTAACAGTTTAACATTTATACGAAAATATTTTAGGATTTTTAAAAAGTATTTTATATTAAAAATGTAAATTTATTGTCGTTTTAATGGGTCTGTAATCTGTGTGTAATCTCTGTACGACGTTCCTACTGGGCGCTAGGTCCGTTTCAGTGGGTTTTTTCGGAGGTGTGTGTGAATTTTGGTGAGTTTTTGAGCGTGTTTCGGGCGTCTAATTAAGGGTTTCACGTTCGTCAGGAAAATAAGAAGAAGAAAGAAACGAAGCAGGAACCTTCTTGCTTTGCTGGAAGAGGTCCGAGGACCCTAAATATATGAATTTAACCCGAACCCTGCTGACAACAATGTGAATTTCTCCACTGTGAGATAAATAAAGGCTGATCTGATCTGATCTGATCTGATCTGATCTGATCTTAAAAAAATCTAAACTACAGAAACAACCTGCATCTAATTTTAGAAAATATATATTTACGGTATTAAAATTAACAACAAGTGTATTAAATAAAAAGGAAATATGATTATGTTTATGTTCTGGTCCAGTCCTGGGATCACATCTGGAATCCTCCTAAAGGTTCTGGAGTTCAGAACAAACAGACCCGGCCGGCGGATCGCAGCTCGTTGAGCTCGTTTAGCTCCGCAGTGACACCAGCAGCTGTTGTTCTGGCGCCACGTTCTGCAGAACAATCCGACCCGATCGGAGCAGCTGCTCGCCATCTTCCTCTGACGGTGATTGATTTTTATTTAACCTCCGCTGAGCCGAACCAGCTGAGAGCGCAGAGAGCTGCTTCCTCTCAGCCAGTCGGTCCGTTAGCAGCTCAGAGAACTGAAGCAGGAGGAAGAGGAGGCCGGAACAGACGGAAACAAATCCTCTGACCTGAAGAACTCAGAGGTGTTACCTGGAGAGGAACCGGGTCGGACTCTGACAGCTGAGGCCCAATAAAGACAAAACAACAGCATCAGCTTTATGAGTTCAGACAACTTCCTGTAGAAACTAAGTTCAACCAACAGACTGTATGAAGTTGGAGGGAATTTCAAACACTTCGGACCTGAAATCCTGAATGGAGCCAATTTAATGAAGTTATCTCAACTAGAATCAGAATTAACGACATGATTACGTCAAAACAACACATCAAAATAACGTTTGTGCAACTTAAATAGAACAGAACGGAGAAAAAACTGAAAAAAAGAGAATATATATATAAATGTATGTATCAGAGAATAACGGTCTAATAAAAATACACTAGTTTTCCATCATCAAAACACTTTTTTATTCTTTTGCTTTTAATGTTATTTTATGTAAATGTTCATTAACTAGTTAAAAAATCAGCTGTCACCAACCGTACATGTTGTTTTATATTTTATTTGTAAATTAACGGCATATTCCTGAAATTAAATTGAATGAAAATCGTGGCAAAATATGGCAAAAATGTAAAAAATACCAAAATATACTATAAAATAACATAAATTAATCATCTCATATATACAACCTAAATGGTTTAAATAAATCAGTCAGTTCATTTTAATAATTTTCATTCATTAGATTTAGTTTTTGGGTCTCGTTAAGCTGAAACTCAACTGATTTGTAGAATCAACAGAAGAAGAAGAGAAAGAGCAGAAGGAGGAGGAGGAAGGAGAGCAACATGAACCGGAGCAGGAGGAGGCGACCAGCTGGGACCTTCTCACCTTGGAGCGGGTCTTGAAGGTCCTGAAGGCTCCGGTTTTGAAGATGACCCGGTTCCTCTTGCACAGGATGAAGGCCACCATGCCGATGACCACCATGAGCAGGAAGAGCGGCGTCAGGACGGCCATGATCCACAGGTTGCTGGGCGGCGTCTTCACCACGGCTGCACACGGAAACACAAACACGCCTCAGCATCACAACACGCCGCAAATCATCACGAATCACCACAAAAACACGCAACATTAACACAAAAACATGCAAAATCACCACAAAAAAAACTAGAAATTATAACAAAATGATGAAGAATCACCACAAAAAAACACAAAGTCCACACAAAAAGACATAAAATCAGCATAAAAAGACTTAAAATCAACACAAAAACACACAAAAAGGCAAAATTTACCACAAGACGTCTTACAATCGCCAAAAAATGACGAAAAATCACCACAAAAACACCCAAAATCACCCCATTTTTAACCTATCTTAATAATGGATATTATATTATTCTTTTATGTTATATTTCATTTTACCTCCCTCGTTGTTTCCTTGATTACGTTTTATTTAAAATAGCGTTTCCTCACTTGTGTTTTTGTAGTTTCACTTCTGAGAATTTTCACTTTTTTTCCCCCAAAAAAGGATGAAACAGATTAATTGATTATAAGAAACTCTGTTTGATTCATTGGTTGGTAACTAACTGACGAATCGTTGCAGCTGTTCTACAAACCGTCTTATCGGACCGCGTCGGCAGATTTACTAAAATGTTCAACGTCGTTAAAATGCGTCTGATTATCATTTAGCCGGTTAGCATATGCAGAGCGTTAGCATGTGTGAGAGTTACTCCTCCTCCGATCTGACGCTAAAAGACGCTAAAACCATGTCGCGTGAACTGGTTTCCTCCAAAGGGGGTTTAAGTTCAACAAATCCAGGCTTTCTTCCAGTTAGGCGGATCAACAAAACCCAAGTTAAAGACAGCGGATACGAGACGGTGGTTCTCCAGTTTCTTCATTAACCGGGTTGATGTCGTGTGAATCTTCTTCGGGAAAACAGCTCATGCTGGAACTAAATATATTCGTTTTTCCATTTAATCTCATTTCTAGCTCTGAAACTTGAAACTTAATTCATTCCAAAAGCTCCATTTAGGTCTGAAACCGTCTCATAATGAAGGAGACGCGGAAATAACTTCAGTTTTTGGCTAATTCAAAGCAAAATTAACATTATTGAGTGAATATTCTCTGTGATAAATACCGAAAGTCTGATGGATGAAGCACAAAATAATAATAATAATAAGAAGAAGAATTGCTGACTCTACCTTTAAGTTATTGTTTTTAACTTGTGTGTCTTTTATTTTCCTGCTCGACTACACCGTAAACGCCGCTGTGTGTTTAAATAAAGGTTAAAATGTAGGAAAAGCAAACACTCTTGCACCACTTCAGAACTCAGACATCCTCCTAATAATGTTTTCGTTGGAGGGATTAACGCGGCCGGCGTCCACACCAGCAAACAAAATGAGTTTTATAAGAACGGCGTGTTCAGTCGAGGCCTGAACGCTGTGAAGGACGCCGGTGGTTCCTCCAGTTTGGTAATTATAGATTAAGGAGGAGAAGTTCTGACTGGAGCAGTTTGTCCTGAGCAGGACGAGACACTGATGCTGACAACGTCTGACCCGAATCAGATAAAACAACAAGGTTTTTCTTTTATTGTGAAGCTCTGAAGCCTCATCGGGACATTATGGAAATGTATGGAGATTTATGGAAAACCCAAACGCTGCAGAACGTCACAGCGAGCCGGAGCGGTTCTGCTCGAGTTCAGCAGATAAACCCTGAAGAGCAGCTGAAGCAGGAGCGCCGTGGGCAGCGAGGAGCCTCCACGACGGAGACGTGGGTCGACTCCGACGTCTGCAGGAAGAGAGACGGTCACGAGTTGACGCTTCGTTTGTTCCTAAAGCAGCAGCAGCAGGCGAGTCAACGAATGTCACGGCGGCAAAAAGACGGATTTAATACGATGGTCAGCGATGTTCTGACGGTGAACCTGCTCTTGTTTTCTTCACACCTGTTGAAGCGTCTGCTGCAGGTCCGACTGAGAGTTCTGATTCTGAATTAGTTTGTCAGAACAACGAAGACAAACAAGAAGACTCTGAAGGCTACAGGAACAGTTTGGGTTCATGTTCTGAAACAGTAAACGTGTTTGGATCCGGCAGCCAGACGGCCGACATGGAGCGATCAAGAAGTTCCAGGACTGTCTGGTTTCCTCCCTCCCTACGACTCCTGGACAGTGAACCATGTCTAGTAGCTGTAAGCTCTCTGCTGCTGATGGATGCTGGCTGTCGCAGTGAAATGACAACAAAATGACGAAGAATCACCACAAAAAAACACACAATCCACACAAAACAACATAAAATCACCATAAAAAGACTTGAAATCACCACAAAAACAGAAAAATTACTACAAAAACACTAAATCCACACGAAAAAAAGCAAAATCACCACACAAATACTTGAAATTACCATTACAGGACGTAAAATCACCACAAAATCACCGCAAACAGACATGAAATCACCAAAAAAGACTTGAAATTACTACTAAATGAAGAATCACCACAAAAAACAACCAAATTAACACAAAAAGACAAAATCATCGTAAAAAGTCGTACAATGTGAACCGACCGGCGTTTTGTGATAAATTCATGTTGTACTGAGAGTAACTCGTGGATTTACCTGCTGTCATTTCAACAAGTTACACGTATAGAAAAGATATATTTGGAAGCAAAGGCATCGGATCACCGCAGAAAGACTTGAAATCACCACAAAAAAGATGCAAAATCATCAGAAAAGATGCTAAATCACCACAAAAAGACTTGAAATCACCACATAAACAGAGAAAATCACCACAAAAAGCCCTAAACTCATGCGAACACGAGCAGCTGCTCAGCTCTCCGTCTGCTCTGATCATTTCCCAACAGGCTACGATGATTTAAAATGCAGCAAATACCAGGATTTCTGCTGATTTGTGGTTCATTCAGGCTGAGGAGGCAGCAGGTAGAGCTCGGTGTGGATGTTTTAGATTTATTTTTGCCCTCACAACTACTCGATGGGTTGAAAAGCTGCACACTTTGCCTTGTTTGTGTCTTGTTCTGTTTAATTTGTGGCTGATTTAACCCAAAGTTTGGAGCGAAACGATTCAGTTCAACGTATTTTACTGGAGGAACCAGACTCTGCTCCTTCCTCCACGTATGACATCACAGAGTACCAGGATGTAGCTTACGTTCGGCCTGCACTTGTACGAAGTAGCCCAGCGTCAGCGCCATCGTCTGCGAGTCCAGGCTGCTGAGCGTCTTGGCGGCGCTGGTGCCGGTGATGGGCGCCCCGTTCAGCTGGACGTAGTAGGTCATCTCCGCCGGGTTCTTGGGACCGGGCAGCCGCCGCATGCCCACCATCTGCAGAGAGGAGAAGGTTTTAGGCCGGCTCGCCTTCAACAGACGGACTACCGGCAGCTTCAACACAAAACCCTTTATCAGATTAGAAATCCTGCTTCTTCTGCAGCCGCAATCGTCTCGGCTGCTTTGATCGGCTCGGAGATAACCGAAGAGAGTCGCACGAAGGCTCGGCTTCCTTTCATCGCACATCAAACGCCGTCTCGTTTTTAATTCGACAAACACTTTGCGCGTTTTAATCACGTCTGCTGATCTGATGCTGTGCTGAAAGGAGGGATGTGTGTTGTTAGACGGACGGATGATTCTCCCTCCTCCGCTTCAACACATAAAACTGGACCGACATGAAGTGGCTTAGCGTGCACGACGTGGAGCACGACGTTAGCGAATGCTGCTAACGGTTAGCGGCGAATACGCTAGCAAATAGCAGCGAAGACGACGGTAGTAAAACTCCGCTTGTTGTTAAATATTTTCCCGCTACGTACCCTCGAAAACAACGTAACGGCCCGATTTGCAGCGTAGTTTTTTCAGGCGGCAGCGCAGCGGGCCTTCCTCTGGCGAGAACCCAGTACGCAGGAAGAACGACGGTCACATCTTCACCCGACAGACGTGTCACGTCCAGGCAGCTCGTTGGGATATTCAGTGTCACACGTCAACAAAACAAACTACTTCCTGCCCGTTCTGACGTGTCGTAGCTTTTATTGAACATCGCGTCCAGTCGAAGGCTAGCGTTTTAGCTCGTTAGCATCTCCATGTAGCATCGTTACTCAGTGAAGATGCAGTTTGCTGACGACGAAAACACAGATTCAGAATAAAATAAAAGCCAAAAACCCACTGTGATGTTTATTATGTCACAGGGTTTTATTTTATAGTATTTATCCAAATTAAAACATGTTTTCTAGCTAATTTCAGCATTAATAAGATAAACAACATTTACTGATTTATTCAAGATTTTATTTTATTTTTTCAAATGTGACGGCACTGATGAACAGTGAGGACATTTACTGGGCTGTATTTTATAGAAAAAGCAATTAAAGTTCAACAAAATGACTTACTGTTGCTTTAAATATGTATTTATGGAATATTAGCATTTTTTAGCACATTTGTCGGAGTTAATTCCAGCAGAATTTGTTAGATATGTGTTTTTAAATATGAATTTAAAGCCATGTGGACATGAAATGTCATCACATGCAACCTTTTAACTGGTTTAATTACTATTCATGCGTTCATTTACATTTTTAATTGATGTGACCTTCTGGAAGCTGCACACGTTGTACGAATGACGACTGTATTAAAGTTTCCATCAGCAGACGACACAGACGAACCTCTTCCCAGACACCACCTCCACGGCGTGCCCTCCACCTCCACCCACCTCCATGGCGTGCCCTCCACCCACCTCCTTCACCTCCACGGCGTGCCCACCAGCCCTCCACCTCCACGGCGTGCCCTCCACCTCCACCCACCTCC